AATATTTGTTTGTATGTACACGGAGTGCCCCAAATATTTTCTGCTTGAGTCCCCTTACCCTCTCATTCATCATAAATGATGCAGATTCCATGTAAAACTACAGGATGAGAGCAGGAGCTGCTGTAATCCAAGCAGAAAATCTGTTGAATTACTGGGCAAAGAAGGTCAGATTATGAAGGAGAAGAGGAAGCTGAGTGATGACTTCATTTGTTAGCATTACATTTAGGAAATCTAGCTCCAAATCCTTTTATAAAACTTGTAGGTCATGCTTTGTGTTCTTTCTGTGTCCAACATGGCATCAGTTGGATTTAAGCACAATGAACGTTTTGTTCAGGCAACTTRAAATCCTTAGTTTGAAAAGATCATCTTGCAGTGCTACTTATACTCTGTTAAACAAGCCGTGCTCAGTGGTTGTTAGTTACATTCTGTTGCCGATGGGTTTTGACTCCATACTGGACTATATTCAAGTAGATGTCACTCACTAATTTCAAAGCTGAGGAACTAAAGTTGTTAGAGTAAAAAAAAGTTTTTGGACAAGAACTAGATGATGTGGTTTGTTATCCAAAAACATCTGTCAAACATCTGTTGACTACCACTGTATTCAAACGTCAGACAGATCAACAAAATGTGCCRAAATGATATGGTGCCATTAAGCTTTGTCTCCGTATGTCAGCGTACTTATAAATTACCTGTTATTTCTGTAAGGTCAGACTTTTAAATTTAGAAAACAAAGAGATTGTTTATGATGGATTATTGTGAAAATCCTTCAGCCAAATGTCAGAAATCTTATAAAACACAAACAAACCAGCTTACAAGRCTGTAAGACAAGAAGTGTACATGTAAATTAATGTCATTTAAAAGAGCTGATAACTTTTTATTGTCTAAGCTGCCAAGCTTTGCCTTTCTTACATCACTGTRTCCTTGCATTGACTTCAATTTTCTTTAATTACACAATGAATTAATTACATTTTATGTGAACATAATTCTCCATATTGCAAAATTGAATGTTTTATATTGTCTATATTTAAGTCAATGCATTATGTTTCCTAGACACAGATGATTTATTTAAAATTAAACTACATTCTTTAAAAAAACAGGTTTTTCAAGCACATATAATAACATTTACAACCTGAATCAGAAAATACAAGGCTCTGATTAAAGAACCACATGTGTTATCCTATTGGTCTGTTTCCTTAATAAACATGAGCGCTATCTTCGCCTTCTGTCCTTGATGGGTTCAAAGAAATCCTTATTCACTTCCCTGTACTGCAYATATCTGTATTTGCAACCTTACAAACAAAGACAAGCCTTCCTTTTCTGCTTTCCCCGTCTGAATGGAGGGACCTTGGCTGAGCCCYCTGAAAAGCTGATTCCTCATTGAATAGGAAGCCCTTGTCCTTTGCATTGCTCTGACTACCGCACTGATTGTGTACTAATGGAAACATCAGTCCCCATCTGGTGTCCATCATTTGGATTCAGGGCAGAGCTCGTCCCAGCAGATACATCTGATTAGTCCATCTCATCGATTTGTGCTGCCTCATCATGACTTAGTCAACCCAAGGTGTCTCTTCTATGACATGCTTTCTCCTTGTGATTTAGTTTGCCAACACTCTAAGTGCATTGAGTGTGACAATAAAATCTTTAATCTAATATGCATCCTAAAGAGGGAGGAGGCGGAGAATGAAGAGCGAGCGAGGAGGTGGTGTGCTCTGTGAGCTCAGATGTAATGAGAAAGGTTTGTATGTCAGGTTGCTTAAAGTTTAATTTCCAATACATGCTTGTTGATCCTGACTGATGTGGATGCCATTTCAGGCAAAACATAACGGTTTTATCAACAAGTCTTTTTGATTTCTATTTGCTGAAGCTATCTTGCTTGTGGTGGGAAAAAAGTGAATAATATCCTGTAAAACAGACATAACACCTTTTATATGTGAACCAAGAAAATGTAAAATCCCATTTTCTCCTCATACATAAACCAATTTAATCTGCCTTTGCACTGTGAGAGTGTGAACGGGGGTTACAGGGCAAAATGAGTGCGTGGTATACTCAGTAAATCTAACAAACAGGAAGTCCACTGCCTGCTTGTGGGAGCATCATATTTAGGGTCGTGTGAGTTGTACATCAATGCGATTTGGAGCTGCGCTGTTCTAGCCCACCCTTCCACCGACCCCCAGTAAGGTGTGTGGCTTCGTTTGCTGCACTGCAATGCTGCTGTGTGTCTGTAAACAAAGATTTTGATAGATGACATGTATGGACTGTAAACTTGTAAAGATATTTCGTAAAAATTAAACGAGCTTAATCTTAAGGTGTCTTTGGAGCATTTTATCATAACAGAAACACGTCCTTTTATCCAGAAACATTTAGTGTTTGTATTCCTTTTACAATAAAATTAACAGATTTTGTAAAACACAATCAGAACTCAGAAAAATTTGATAAAAAATCAAAACATTTTGACTTTGTGCTTTGAAAATGTGACTTTTTTCAATTATTAATTTGCACATTTTTGTTTTTTTAAGAACTTTTTCATGTCTAATTGCTCATTGGCATGAATGACCTAGATGTACTGATGGCAGTAAAAAAAGGCTGTATTTTCACATCTATTTAACGAGCTGTTTTTATAATTTCATCTCTAACTGTCCTGATGAAAAAAATAATTACATTAAAGAAAAAAAAAAGAACATGAATTATCCAGTGACCCATCCTGTTATTAATCATTCCCATCTCCTCCTTCTCTGACCCTGGCTGTGTGAGTATGCAGGTTGCTGCATGTGCGAGGAGCAAAATCTCAGGCTTGAAGCCAGATACTTGTCATTTTGGCCAGAATGACTTCTATATATCAATGTGAAGCTCTTGATGAAGCCAGTTATCCTTTATCAAAAAGGCATTACAAGAAGCTTGACTGAAATTGAATTGGACCATAAAACCTCAAAGTTAAGTAGTGGGGATAACAAGTCTGGGTGTGCATAATGACGAAGTTTGCTGAATTTATTTGGGAGGGGGTTATTGTGAAGGAAAAGTAGATGGAAAAGAAAAAAATACGTCTTAAAAAATACCTGATCAAAGGTAGTGCATGATATTTTCCTCTTCACTAATCCATCAAATGAAAAAAGGAACCCCTTTTTTAAATCAGTTTGCTTGAACGTTTAGATGAAGCCAAGAAGAAAAACAGGTCTGCATGAAAAGTAATCAGAGCAGCCCGCTCTGATAGTGACAGCAAGTTAAAAAGACGACGAGGATGAGCGGGAGAAAATGAAAACTGCTGGAGGTCTATGCTGAAAACACGAGTCAGTCAAACATGCTTGTTATCAAGTGTTTTTTTTTAAATTGCATCTGAGTGTGTGAGCTGTGTGTGTGTGTGTAAAGCGGTGGGACGCACCAGGAGAGGAATGCAGGCATGGGTGTGAAAACAGCCTCGTTTCCTGACCCTGAGGCTGACCTTTCCATTCCTCCTTTCCTGGTAGCTGATGGTGCCTCTCTTTTTTATTTTAACAAAAACAAAAAAACATGAAGCAAAACAAAAAGATTTGACACTTTCCAGAGTTTATGTTATGATAGTGTTTGTGTGGTTTTTACATTGTTGTAGCAAGAGCGCCCCTTTCTCTGTGTGTGAAGTCGACTGCGGAGTGAACAGTCACGGGTTGACATTAGCAAAAGAGAACAGGTCAAGAGGATTATCTTAAAATATTAGTCGCTCTCTTACCCTTTCCTCCTCCTCTTGTCTACCCTGTCTAGTTTTCCTTCTGTTCAGATCTCCTGCTGCCTCACGGCACCTGTCTATGGACTCAGTGGGCGTTTTACATCGTCTGATTTCCTTTACTTCACAAAAATGCTAAATACTCCAAATTTCCTCTGCATGWACCTATTTATTATTTACCTATTTATGTGCACTTGACATATAGAGGAAAGTTATATGTTTACATACAAACGTTTTTGAATGTTGGTATTCATGCCACATGTTATTCCTATTTCTGTTTTATGTTTTTGGATGTTCAAACTTACTGTTTTAGTTCTTATTTTTTATTCTTACCCTTTAAATGACTTCTGCTGATAATTCTGAAATTCCCCGAGGGACAATTAAGTCTATTCTATTCTATTCTATTCTATTCTATTCTATTCTATTCTATTCTATTCTATTCTATTCTCACTTTGATAATGTCTGCTTTTCTATTCAGTTGTTTTACATTTTCTAACCCGTTATCTATTTAAATGACACAATAAATAAATGACAACTTTTTGTTGATAACAAATTATTACACATTATTATCTAAACTCATTCAAAAAGATGCTCCTCATTCACCTAAAAGATAAAAGTTGAAAAAAAAAAAAAGCTTTGCATTCAATGTTAAATAGTGCCTGGACATTTTAGGCAATTCGTTGTAGGGGTACTTTCATCAAGGGGGTTCTGCAGCTCTTTAAAMTATCATTAAGGACATGACTGAAGTGCTTCAACTTGAATCAGGGCCTCACCAATGAGGGTGTCTGTCTGGGTGCTGAGGCAGCACCCTGGACCACATCTGACCCCCCCACCCAAACAAACGGACTCATCCATGTCACTATTTCTCTGCAATGTGGTTTTGAGGAGTAAACGTGGCTTTTAAACTGTTGCAAAATTCTAAAGTCATTTATATGTAATTATTATTATTTTTTTTATTTTAAACTGATGAAGGTTTTTGACATCAGTTCTGTTTCTTTAACACAGTTGAGTTGATGTGTTTCAGAGTTAAGTTGGAGCCATGGTCGTTGCCGGTCCGTTGAGTCCGTTTGCATGTAATCAAATAGCACCGCGCGCACTGATCTGTCCAATCTGTGATGGCTCCCTTGTTCTGCGCGCCTCTCCTCTCCGTCCCCGTCCAGCTCAGCTCTACCTTCTTGTAATTGAATTACCTCGGTTTTAAGTAAGGGGCGGGGCTTCGCTCGGCTCAAGTTACGCCCATTCAAATCGTTTCAAGCCAATGGGACCGTCCCCCGCTCGGCCGTAACCAAACCCACTCTCTCACAGTCGGCGTCTGGAGCTGCCTGCCTGCTCACCGAGTCCTGCGCGTCCCGGCGTCTCCAAAGCAAGACCCCCGGAAAAAAAAAACAAAACAAAAAAAAAAAAAACAATAAAATCCCAGGGAAAGACAGAGGACGACAGCGGCTCACATGGGAGATCCACGCAGCGTTTTCTCAACCCCCGCACGCCGCGCCATGGCTCATATATGAGGAGGACACTTTGGAAAGTGGAGGTAAACAAGCGGTGAGAAGCGCACGAGAGCCCGCAGCGGCCCCTCACATCTCCGCCACAGCGCAGCGGGGAGAGGATGACAGTGTTTCCCACGCAGGAGACCAGAATCTAACATCCACCTTCCGGACGCGGAGCGGCTCAGTGCGGCTTTTTAAAAAAGTTGCCTGGAGAACATGGACATCTGACGTGCGCCTCTCAGCGTCATTGGACACGTTTGAACCCCCCCCCCCCTTTTTTTTCTTTGCTACCCATCAAGTCCTGGTCGGACTAATCTCCTGCGCTTTCGGTTTGGAAGTAACAATAAGTGTTGGGCTTTGTCACTTGCCCTGACACTCAGGCTACACCCAGAGGATCAGTGCGTGCACGAGGAGGAGGAGGAGGGGTGGTGGTGTGTGTTGGGGGGAGAAGACACTGTAACGCCACAGAAGACTCCCTGCCTGTTGTTCTGCGCATTTGTGGTGCTGATCTCACTGTTTGTGCGCCGGGGAGGGGGTGGGGGGGAAGAACGATTCTGTCACGGATTTCTCCGAGCTGCCATCCTGCAACAAACTCAACCTTATGATTCATCTGGACCACTCTGCCCCGCGCGAGAGAGACAAAAAACACAGCGACGCCTTGTTGTCTCTCTGTCACTTCCCATTGCTGTCACTCTGAACAAGTGTCACCTTAACTGTCCCGTTGAATGAACACGGTYGCCTCTTCCCTCCACCTTTCTGTTACATTTGCTCCACGTTCATAAAGCTGCCACAGAAACGCGCGGCCACATGTGACTGAGACTCGTCACCTGTCCGGCTCGAAGCGCCCGTTGACTAAAACCCGACTGACCCGACTGATAAGGAGGAATACGAAGTTTTGCCGTAGTGATGCTGCATGTGGAAATGGTCCTCTTCATCTGCCTGGTGCTGTTGATGTGCGTATTCAGCCAGGAGCCCGGATCCAAAGTGGTGGCCGACCGCTACGCCGTCTTCTGGAACCGCACCAACGCCAAGTAAGTAGCCGCGCACCGGGCAGGTTTCGCCGCGGAGACTCGGCCGATGCGTCCTGCTCCTCTGGATGGGATGAGTGCGCCAGCGGGGAGGGGGTTCCCTTCCCGGACACCGGTCTTTATCCTCCGCAGTGAGGTCTAAATGCCATTTACAGTAGCTACAATATGTGGCAGAGAGGATAGGAAAAGGAAAAGGAAAAGAAAAGACAGTTGGGTCTTTTTTTTTTTTAGTTTACGCGCAGTCAGCGCGTTCCCGGAGAAACCAAAGCGTGCGCATCACGGCCTTTACAGTCCGGGCTTGTATCGTTTCATCTGCTGCCAGCGGAACTTCCTCAGYTGTAGAAGCGGACATAAATTATTTTATGAAGTTATCAAGTTTATATTTGTTTTTGATTTGTTGACACAGTTTGGATCAAAACCATCCAAATCTAACTTTAGTCTTAATCGGATGAAGTTTAAAAACAATTTCAGGTAACACCTGTTCACAAAGTCTGTTTAACTTTTAGTTTATGAACTTTGATTATCTCATTTTAGACAAAACAACAACAACAACAACAACAACAACAACAACAACAACAACAACAACAACAACAACAACAACAAAAGCTAATAATAAACGGAAAAGCTGAGCTGTGCGCTGTGAGGAACCGCTGATGTCTGCTTGTGTTTTAATGGAACTTCTTCACCTTCTATGACAAAACTTTGTTACTTTCTGTGTCCAGAAAACATGTTTAATAGAAATAATACAGTTCAGTTTTCATGTTTTCAAATAAGCTGATTCAAGCAGAAGAAATGTGCAAAAACCCAAAGCTGTTTCTGAGTAGGAGGCAAAAAACTGAAGCCATAAAAAAGTTTTTGTTTTGAATTTGTATTACCTGAAACTTTTCTTTTAACTCTTAAACTAATTATTGGATCATTATAAAATACAAAAACAAAACAAAAACAAAGAAAAAAATATAATTAGATTTGAATAATAGGTTTCTGGATAATTTAATAGGTTTTGTTTTGCAACTCTGCAACAAGTTTATTGAAGCCCATTTTTAGCACTGAAAATACAAAACAGGTTAGTTGTCAACTAAACACTTAGCAAAAGTGGCAAAGTTGTTTTCTAAAATTTAAGAATGCAAACAAAGTTTGGAAGATGAAACTCTGCCACAGGAGTGTAGCACTCGGTTGGTTTGTCTCTCTCTCTTTTGTTTAGTTTTTTTTAGATTTTTTTAGTTCGCCTTTAAAAGCAATGCTGTCTTCTAGACAGTCTTAGAAATGAAAACTTTTACAAATAACATTTATTATTTTTGTATGTTGGAAATGATGAATGACTTAAAGTCACATTTTCTTCTCTAATTGAAAAAAGAGTAAAAACTTTGTGTCTTATAAATCTGAATTTAAAAATATGAAGTTTGTATGGTGATAAAGTTTCACAAAAATCGTCCAGGCAGAATCAGATTTGTTGATGAACGTGATCAGCAGCTTCTGAAACCTAAAGCTGAAACAAAAGTTTCTCAGTTGTGCGCCGCTCCTGGAGTCAGAAACCTCTCTTCTGTCTCGAGTCAACCTTCTGTAATTTGTTCATGTTTGTCGAGACAGCATTTCCTACTAAAAGTCCCTCATGTGGTACACTGTACAGCCTTGTTCCTGGCCTTATTAAGTCTGCTGCTGGGGAAGGGCTTTACTGAGATCTTTCACTCAGCTGCCACTGGCACTTTGTATTTGTTGAATAAACTCCTCCAAGTGAACATTAATAACACACGCTAAATTTGTTACGCAACTATTTATGTTGAAATTGAAATTTGAGGGGAAAAAAACATTATTTATTGCCTGAAACAATTAGTGGTGGAGGTCTAAATGGAGGGCTGACTGTGAGCTGCCTGCTGAAGTCGGAGGCAGGGTGTAGATCCTCGCTCTGATAGCCCGTAGACCGTGACTGGTGTGGTCTTGGTTCCCCAACTTACCCTTTCTGATTATTATACTGGCCCACTGTCTTCAGGGGAGGCAAACAGTTTGAGTTTGATAGACATGGTTTCATTAGGCTTCATTTCTTTTTTTTTTAAACAAAAAAAAAGTTTGGACTTGACAGGCCGCTCCGTTAACTTGATCCCTTCCAGATGTGCTGACAAGTTTTCTGATTTTCACTAAAGGAGGACAAAGTTTATTTGGGAAAAAAAAGGTTTAGATAAATCCACTGTTAATCTAAGATCACTAACACCGACTCAGGGCAGAGAAAACTAGCATTGTCTGTGCTTCTCCTTTACTTTCTTTGAGATCCAGTAAAAAAAAAAAAACCCTGAGAAATACAGTTTCCTGAGCCTCATCTGTTTCTGCGGCTCGAACTCGCCCGAGGAAAGGAAACAGGTTTTCATACAAGCTTCAGCGCCCTAACAGTCACTCTGTTCTACTTACTCTAAATAGAGTTTGTTGACTCTAACCCCTGCAGGGCTGAAGCTGAAAGCCAGAAAGGTAACTTTAAATCAGGGAGGAAAACGAGAGGGAGAGAGGGATAGAAAACTCGTCTTATTGATGACTCAGTTAATAAATATTGAGTCTCTTTCCTCCTGCATTAGTCTAGAGAACTGGTGTGGCACTGGAACTTTTCTGCCTTTGTTCTGAGGCTTTGCAGTCATTGAAACTGCTGCTCCTTTGAAAACTTAAGTGAAAGTAACTCAACATATTGACAGCATGTGATTTAAAAGATTATTTCAGTGTTTTTTTCTTTTTTTTCCCGTCTGGCTCTGCATTTGTTGTTGTTGGAATGTGATTACATGTGTTCAGAACTTTTAAAAATAAGAAACCACGTAAAACGGCAATTTCTGTGCACTTAAACATCACTTATCTTGCATAATCTGTCGCACCAAAGCAGTCATTTTGATTGAGCTTTGTCCTAAAACACGTTTTGTTTTTTTATTTATTGTACTCAAAATGGATGATTTCCCCCCTGTTTGCCTATTTGATCTAGTGAAACGCTCAGGAAGTAGAGGAAACCTTCAAACACAACCTAAATCTGCCCGACTTTAGGAACTTGTTGACGTCTGCGCCCAAATATTCAGCTGCAATCAGTGTAAAGTTAAACAAATTAAATAGTGACGACACAAAAGCACAGTCTTTGGCTAAGATTGAAAAAAAATGTGGAGTAAAATTTCATTTAGACAAAGATTTAAAACATTGTTTAGAGGAATTTTAGATGAGAACTTTTTGCGTGAAATGTAGCGTTTTCAGCATTCTTTGGACATTTTTTTTGCATTTTGATATATTTTCTCAAAGTTTCCCAGTAGTCGGAGTTATATTGTTTGTGGACACTTGTYAGTTTGGAGTTTTGTTATTTCAGCAGTTGTTTATTGTGATTTTGGTAGAAACTGAGGCAGTGATTCTGACTGTTTCGTTGGCTTCTGTCCAACATTGTGTTTCACAATTACAGCAGGGGACAAGGAACTTGCTAGTTGCTTTTTTACAGAATGACACCATTTTTTTCTGTCCTTTTGAGGCTTTTGTACTTTCTATTGAGTATTTTTTTTTATACTGGTAAGAATTTCAAAGTGACTGGAGAAATATACTGATAAAAACACATTTTGAGTGYTGTGAAGATACGTGTAAGAAATCTCAACTTCACTCAGCTCCAAAACTACATTTCTGCCCTCTGCTTTTCCATGAACCAGCTTTTCTCCAGAGCATTTAGACTAATAAAGGAGCAGACAACATGCTCTAATGATGTCTCAGTTGTAACGCCAAAGAGACGGCATTTCCTTTTCACTTTCTCCCCTCTGCCCTTTCCTTTTCCTCATCTCCTTTTCTTGATTTTTTCACCCCCCCTGTTGTCTTCCACCCCTTCGCTCTCCCTTCCTTCATCTCCTCCAGCCAGGCACAGAAAATAAACAAAATACAATTAGATATTTTCAGAGTCCCTTCACGGCTGATGTCRGGGAAAGACGCACAGAGGTCAGGCGCACTCTGAGCTGAGCTGAGAAAGAGGTCACGCACACACGGTAAAACGTAACGAAGCAGAAAGTTGGTGTGTGAATGACAAACTAGTGACTAATAACTCTCCTTGAAGGAGAAGGTGTTCTCCGAACAACCTGGTTCATTTTCATACGTCCCTATTTCCAGTTTCCACGTTGACATTTTCCACATGTAACTAAAGACCTGTAGTTTGTTGTCTGTGGTATCAGCTTGCTTTTGTTGAAGTCAAGTCTTTGTCTCTGCACGTTATTTTTGTGTTTAAACGTGTCTGTGTATTTAGGTGCATTCATTTGAACAATGTGCTGGGAGGACAGAACAGGGCTTGCTTTGTTCCACGTGTGTTAATAGATACCAGTATAATTACAGATTTGCCTCTTTGCGTGTTTATTCTTTGTCATATAGACCAGTGCTGCTTTCATGCATGTGTGGCTGATCGTATAAARCCCACGCTGAAAAGTTTGTCTGGCTGTCTTTTTATTTTTTAATTACATATTTATTTAAATTTTCATATTAAAACTTTTGCATCTACCTTTATTTACAACATTCTGAAGACACATCTTTCTATTAGCTCAATATTTTGCACTCAGACCCACTCTAGGCTCTGTTTTATTCTTTCTTTTGTCTCTAGTCACAGCCCCTTGTCTTTTAGTTTCATTTTAATTCTTTCATTTATTTTAAGGGTCATTGCACAGTAGCATGAATTTAGCTCTGTTGCTAAATTTCATCCGTTGAATAAAATCCATGAAACACGTACACAAAGCAAATATAACAACTGATAAAGCAATCCATAAAGCCAGACACGATAATCATAACACATTAAATGAGTGAGTTAGTTCTTGTTAATGACTCTTTTGTCATTTTTGTTCTGCCAGTGACATTGAAATCACAAACGCCGGCCAAACGGAGAACATAGAGGGCAGAAACAGAGCCAGGCGGAGGATACTAAAATAAAAAAAAAAAAACGGGACACGATGGAAAAAACGACAAACTGTGACGAGTGTTACACCGTATAACTCTCTTATCAGGTTTTAATGGCGCTTTGTATTTTCTCA